CCTTACAGTTCCTGACTCAAAACTTATTACAAAGCTAAGGTAATTAAAAGAGTTCGGTATTGGCATAAAGACGGACACATAAGCCAATGGAATGGAATACAGAGCCCAGAAATAAGCTTTCATATGTAGACAAATGATTTTTGACAAGGAAATTTATTTCCTTGACCATTCATTGGATAAAGAACAGCCTGTTCAACAAATAGTGTTGTAAACACTGTGTATCTACATGCAGAAAAGATTAAAGTTGGATCCCTACCTTACACCACATACAAAATTAAGTCAGAATGGTTTGCAAATCTAAATGTAAGAGCTGAAACTATAAAACTCTTAGAAGAAAATAGAAGTAAAATCTTAAGTAAAGTAAAATACTGGATTTTACTGGATGAAATACTGGATTAAATAAAATACTGGATTTAGCAATGGTTTCTTGGAGGACACTGAAACCAGAGGTACCAAAAAACAAAACAAAACAAAAACCCTGGATAAATTAGAGTTCATCAAAATGAAAACTTTTGCACATCAAAGGACACTATCAGAATGAAAAGACAATCTACTGAATAAGAGAAACTACTTGCACATCCCATATCTGATATGAGGTTAGATTGATACACAGAACATATATAGAACTCTCACAATTCAACACAAAATCAAACAAAACTTGATTTAAAAATGGACAAAGGACCTGAATAGACATTTCTCTAAAGATGATACACAAATATGAGCAAGCACATGAAAAGATGTTCAACATCTCTGATCATTAGGGATAGGCAAATCAAAACCAAAATGAGATACCACCTCATACTCATTAGGATGGCTTTTATAAGCAAACAAAACTCCAGAAAATAATAAGTGTTGGCAAAGATGTTGAAATACTGGAACACTTGTGCCTTGTGGTGGGAATGGAAAATCTTTTAGCTTTTCTGTGAAATAGCATGGCAGTTCATCAAATAATTAAAAATGGAATTATCACATGACACAACAATTCTACATCTGGAGCTACATCTAAAGAAATGACAACAGGAAGGCTAACAGATACTTGTATGCCAGTGTTCATAATAGCACTATTCCTAATACCAAATGGTGAGAGCAACCCAAATGTCCTTTCAGAAGATGAATGGGTAAACAAAATGTGGTATATACATGCAACAGAATATTATTTAGTCTCAAAACAGAAACAAATTCTGACATATGCTGCCACATGGATGAACCTTGAGGACATAATACTAAGTGAAATAAGCAAGTCACAAAAGGACAAACACTGTGATTCCACTTACAGGAGGTATATCGAGTAGTCAAATCCATAGGGACAGAAAAGAATGGGGGGTTAGGGGGAGGAGAGAATGGGAAGTTGGAATTTAATGGAGTATCAGTTGGAAAAAAAAAACAAAAAGTTCTGGGGTTAGATGGAGGTAATGGTTGCATGACAACGTGACTGTATTTAATACCAGAGAACAGTACGCTTAAAAATGGTTAAAAGATAGATTTTATGTTGTGTAATATTTTGTCACAATTTTTCAGAAAGAGCAGGACTCATCCTTAAGACTACAACTGGGCTTCTTGGAACTTTTAAGAGGAAGAGAGAAATGCATTATTAGTATAGGCCCAGGCAAAATTGTAATATAAATGGTTTGCTTTTCATATCTTCTGCCTTGCCCTTTTTAGACTTTCCTAATTCTTATATTTTCTCTGTCTTCTAAGAAGTAGAAGTACTTCTTAATGTGATCCATACCATACCATACTTAATTCTGAGTTTTTTTCACCATTACCAATTTTTTTCACCATTACCAGTACTTAAAAGTTTATTTAAAAGTTTATTCTATTCCTACTCATTTTCTCAGAAGTATGCCCTAAGTTAACCATCACCTGGGGATATAATTTGATGCTTTTCTTCCCATGAAGGTGTTAATGATTGACTCTAAGAAGAACTCTTCAGTGAATTTTCAATGAGAGTCTAGCACTGTGGAAGACATTTTGGGGGGTAACTGGGCCTTCTGAGAAACCTCAGATCACAACATGGAGACACCCTCCCTCTTTGAGTACAGTACGTCCCACCTTTGGGATCACAAAATTGGAAAAATTAGTTCCACACATCAAAAAGCCCACGAACATGGATTCTACTGATAAATTTCTGCACACAGCTCCTCATTGTTCCCTATCTAGTCGAACTGTGGCCTTACTCAATACAATTTAGTGATGGCTGTGGTAGCAGAACTCTTAGCGCAGACAGATTTTAGCAAAACAAATAGTTTCAGATTTGGATGTAGACGTGTGGCATATGGAATTAAGAGGCAAGTCAGCGACAGTGCAAGAAACATGGTTCAAAGGGTTTTAAAATATAGCACTCTCTAGGGGGAAAATAAATGGAAAATTTTCAGATGTGATTTTTGAATAATCCAGCCATTATTAGAAGTTTGTGGTTTTTACAAGAAATACTTGAAAATGTATGTTCATTAGATTCATTTTATAACAAAAAGAATCCCTGTTGAGATTATTCAGAAGCAAAAAATGTTCTATTTAGCTATTTTTCTAGCTTTAACACTTCCAGAAATCATTATGATTATCTTTCTGTATTAAAAAGAACAAAACATTGTGAACAGAAGTCAACTAAGTAATTGTAATGCAAAGTGATTTCTTGGTATTTAAAAAATGTTTCACACTTATGTGAGAATATACGTATATTTCATACACATAATTGCTGAAATACGGTGATGAAAATAGTTTAGAATATTTTAGAATCACAAATAGATTGTTGTAAAAATTGCTAGGAACTACAGGAAACTTGAAAATCTATTTATGCAGATACATGCATAACTAATTGAATGACATGCACACATCTATACAAATAATTATATAATTTAGTTCCTTTTTTTTTTTTTTTTGTTCAGCCAGATTCTCTGGATCACAAGAGGTCCATGAAGTAATACTTGGGATATTCCAGTTATTTTAAATATTTCAAAGACGTTATGGTAATTGTAAATTTAGCCATGGTATGATTCCCAGACTAATCAAACTTTTTAGCTTTTGAATAGAATGACATCAGTTCAATCTGGAAATACTGGTTGCCTTGGGCTGACTAGCGATTCTGATAGACTTCTGACTCTAAGTTTTTGATCAAAATAGGAGAGTGCACTAATAATTGGGCCTCAGAACATAGCTTTGAGTTCATGACCTGAAGTCAGAAAGAGACCTGGGTTCTAATATTAGCCTCAGCCCTCACTAGCTGTTCTATCTCAGACAAATTACTTCATGTCTGTAACACAGAGTTTAAGCTTCCTCACTTTAAAAAAACATTTTTTAAAAATTTATTTATTTATTAGAGAGAGAGAGCATGAGGCAGTGGGGCAGAGGGAGAAAAAGGCTCCCCGTTGAGCAAGGATCCCAACATGGGGCTCGAGCCTAGGACCCCAGGATCATGACCTCAGCCTAAGGCAGACAGTTAACTGACTGAGTCACCCAGGCCCCCAGCTTCTTCACTTTTAAAACGGAAAACAATGCCTGCTCCATACGGTTGTTGTAAGGAATCAATAAACAACCACAAGTAGAACGCCTAGCACAGAGCAAAGTACCTTGATAAATTGTAGCTATTAAGATTCTTGTTATTACAGAACAGAACTGGTCTATGAAATCTTTCAAAATAGGGGATCTAGGAGAAAACTAAATGAAATAGACCATTGGTAATAAAGCGAGTTTACTTAATATTGTTTAAAAGTGATATTTCTAAATCAGCTTTCAGTACGCAGATGTATGGTCTCAAGAGCACGCATCTGATATATTATTGTTAAATAATATTTTGTCTAAAATATGCTTAAGTAAAAATTATGATTTCCCGCATGGGTTGCCAAACGCTGCCTAACTATTCCCCGGCATATTTACTCCTGCAGTGGCTAATGCAACCAGTCAGGGCAAGAACAAACTCGTCGAAGGCAAACCTCCACAGTTGTTAAGAACTATAACCCAGCACGGGCTATTTGTGGTCCCGATAACCTGTTTTTTAGAGAGTGACATTCGCAGATGTTGGGTAATGAAATGAAGCCCGACCTCGTGGTTATTGTGAACAGATAAATGTCCAAATCCTTCAGCTTCTGCCAAGCTGCTCAGATCACTTAAAGCTGGGGAAAAGAGAAAAAGAGCCAGAAATTGCCATTGTGATAAAAGCACCAAGAATTCCAAGAACACTGATATTTAACAGGAAGGTGTCCTGTTTAATAGCAGCGATGCATCACAGCCATGGATGGCTGGTCTCTAGTCAGAGGGTCCTCGGTGGTGTGCTCTGTCCACACGGGACATTCTGATATGCCTGGAAGCCTGGAATATCGAGGTGGAGCTGAAGATATAACCTGAATAATAATTCCTCATATTTGATGGTTCTAAGAGTTCTATTTTACATAAATTATATCATTAGATTCTCATAGCAACCGTTTGAGGGGGAGGGGGCCGGATGTCATTATTCCAATCTTACAAGGGAAGAAAAGGGCTTGCTATGGTTACGTGGTATAGCAGGCACTCAGATAACAGGAGACAAAACTAGGATTAGGTCCTCCGTCTCCTGACCTCACGTGGCCTTCTTTCTGTTTGACCACACTGTGTTTTGTTTTTTTTTTTTTAAGATTTTATTTATTTATTTGAAGAGAGAGATCACAAGTAGGCAGAGAGGCACGCAGAGAGAGAGGGGGAAGCGGGCTCCCCACTTAGCAGAGAGCCCAACGCAGGGCTCGATCCCATGACCGGAGCCGAAGGCAGAGGTTTAACCCACTGAGCATCCCAGGGCCCCCCCGGCCATACTGGTTTTTGTGTGTGGCAGTTTATTAGAATGTCATCTGCAAAAAAGCTTTGCATTAATATAGTAGACGTAACATGTGAAAAATAGTCCTTATGTTATTATGTTAATCTATATTTGCCATTTGCTTCTAAGCTTTTTTATTTTCCCCCTCCTACTCTTGTCTGATTTCTTAAGAAGCCAAATGGGGTTTTGAAAGATACTTTCTTTTTTCTCTCATTAGGCTCCAATTATGAAAGATGTGATTTCGAGAATGGGCTCTGTAGTATGACACGAGATCAGAGTCTGCAACTTGGTTGGACAAGGAGAAATGGAATGACTGGTGTCTCACCTCCATTTTATGATCACAGCGGCAATACGTCTGGTAAACACTTTGAATTTCTTTCTCTCTTTTTCTTTCTTGTCAAGTGGTTGATTATGGCAGTAGAATATTGGCTGATATTTGGAAATCAATTATTATAATGCCTAATTTTATTCCTTCTTTAACCATTTTCAGGATGTTTATGATATAAAATATCACACTGCAGTCTCATAGTTGCATTCCTGGGATCCTGACAGTCTATCTATAGAATGATTGGGATTTTCTAGCTGTTTTGACTCCTTATGGAAAATGGAAAATTTATTATTTTTTTAAAGATTTATTTATTTATTTATTTGACAGAGATCACAAGTAGGCAGAGAGGCACGCAGAGAGAGGGGGAAGCAGGCTCCCCACTTAGTAGAGAGCCCGACACGGGACTCGATCCCAGGACCCTGGGATCATGACCTGAGCCACAGGCAGAGGCTTTAACCCACTGAGCCACCCAGGCACCCCGGAAAATGGAAAATTTAACATGATAATGCTACATAGGTTAGTTCATCAAATTACTTTGCTTTTGGCTATACTGATTTCAGTATAAAACAACACTTGTTTTCTTAGGCTATCTAGGAAGCTCTAATGGACCTCTCATTAGCCTTTGAGGTGGCTCTGAAGCCAATCATTTATTGATTTCTTTACTTGATAACCAATGAACTTCATTCATTCACCATTTTGTACCCGGTGATTAAGATATTTTAGTGAGCAAAAATCAACTCTTTACCTTCCCTTGTCTGATGGGCTTACACATGACATGAAAAGAGGTAGTATATTGTGCGGCATAACTAATTGAAGGCTGGAGTTTTTTTTATAAAAGTGATGTTTCTCCCAAATAAAAACAACCTAATTTAAAATACGAGTATTTTCCCTAGAGATCATTGAAAGCAAACCGATGTTCAGGTATCAGGTGTTAATTGTTTAGAAATGTTTGCATAAATACTACATATGTAAATTAGAATCCTAGCTCCATCATTTCCTAGCTGTATGGTCTTGAGCAATTTACTTTTTTTTTTTTTTTAAGATTTGATTTATTTGACAGAGAGAGATCACAAGTAGGCAGAGAGAGAGAGAGAGAGAGAGAGAGAGGAGGAAGCAGGCTCCCTGCTGAGGGGAGCGGGATGCTGCTGGATCCCAGGACCGCAGTGATCATGACCTGAGCCAAAGGTTAGAGGCTTTAACCCACTGAGCCACCCAGGCACCCTGCAATTTATTTTTAAGCCACGATCTTCTCAACTCCGAGAGGGGGAATGATGATACTTAATTCATAGGTAGTTGATGTAAGAGCTAAATGAGATATTGTGGGTATAACTTGCCATAAAACATCTGACATTCAAGGAAAGTTGATATTTAGTACATTTCTGGATAATTTTGGTGTTCCTGACTCTAACTTCTAGGTAAGGGAACTGCAGTTTGTTATTTTGCTTGGCTTTGATGGCAAAAATATTTCTTAAAATGACTTTTTGACCATTGTTAGGAATAAGCCAACCTTATCACAAACAAGGGATCAGCTTTTCAAGCAGGACCAATGACTTGCTGCAACACAGAAAATTTTTATGTGTGCAGTTACGCTACATGGTGATGATATTGAATCTGGTTCCCACCTTTTAGTTATTACAGTACCTTGCAAATTGTTTGATTCTATATATATCTCTCCTTTAGAACCTCCCCACTGCTTCTTTCTTTTACTCAAAAACTTTCACAGCATCCATTTATTTATCCTAGGCTTCGTCTTGGGCAGAATACCTGAAATTTTCTCCTTTTGTTGCATATGGCTCTTTTTCTATTCCTCTTGTATGTCCCATCATCTTCAATTTAGACAACCAGACTCTGTCACTGTGCTTCCTGCTTCCCACTCTCCTTCCCTTCTTCCTCTCCTCTCTCTTTCCATTCTTTCTTCCTACTCTTTTCTCATTTTGTCATGCTGATTTTTTTTTGATAGCTGGTCAATAAATAAATTGGGAGCAATTACATCAAAATTGAGATGTTTTATAGGCGGATATCACTGTAGCCGCATCACTTGGTTTGTGTTCCCATCTCTGAAGTCAAACTAGATGGGTTTGAACCCTGGCACGTCAACCTGCTAGTTCCATGGTCTCAGTTTCCTCATCTGTAAAGTGGGAATAATAATAAGACCAGCTTCATAGGGAGAACAGGGCAAAATATTGTCTGGCATAATTATTGAAGGCTGGTGATTTTAATAATAGAGATGCATCTCTTATAACTATAATTAAATGTTTAAATATGAGTATTTCCCTAGATATAATTTTAAATAGGCAAATGTTTTACCTTTAGATATTAGCTGTGAAAATGTTTATATAAAAATCATCTTGTTGGAATCTTGTCTCCATTCAAAAATCCTTATTTCATGAGTATTAGTAAAATTTTTTATTAACTTACTCTTGAAATAATTTGCTAGTGCTCCAACATAATATTTTCCATCATGTAATCAATGCCTTGAGAAGTTTTCAGAGCTAAGTTTGAAAATCTATTAGAACATTAAAAACAGAGGCGCCTGGGTGGCTCAGTGGGTTAAAGCCTCTGCCTTCGGCTCAGGTCATGATCTCAGGGTCCTGGGATAGAGCCCCGCATCAGGCTTTCTGCTCAGCAGGGAGCCTGCTTCTTCCTCTTTCTTTGCCTGCCTCTGTGCCTACTTGTGATTTCTGTCTGTCAAATAAATAAATAAAAATCTTAAAAAAAAAAGAACATTAAAAACATCACTGTGTCAATATTTGAAGTCTACTAAAGCTTGGAGCAGAGTGATTAAAATATAATATTGATTTTTAAGAAGTATATAACATTACATTTAGATGAAATGATATCCCTACACTGCAAATACATCTTTGCAACAATGGTAAAACTTTATATTTTAAAAAAGAATGGAATATGAATTTTTCTTGTAACTCTTATCAGACTATCAAGTTTTAAATAATTCTAGAGCTCAGGTGATACTAAAGAAGATACGTGAGGCTTTTAGAATATATAATTTACTATAAATGTAAAATGTATAGATTATCAAAGATAAAAAATAATATATTTGAAAAGTTAATATTTCCATCTATATTTTCATCTTATTTTTCTTATTTGGTATTTAAAATCAGGTTTGAAAGGAGGTATTAGAACTCTTGTTATTTTTTTTTTTTAAAGATTTATTTATTTATTTATTTATTTGACAGAGAGAGAGAGATCACAAGTAGGCAGAGAGGCAGGCAGAGAGAGACGGAGAAGCAGGCTCCCCGCAGAGCAGAGAGCCTGATTCCGGGCTCAATCCCAAGACCCTGAGATCATGACCTCAGCCAAAAGCAGAGGCTTAATCCACTGAGCCACCCAGGTGCCCCAGAACTCTCGTTATTTTGACCAGTTATTAAATTAGATCTAAAATCCATGTATTATCATATGACAAACACAAATTATTAAACATCATCCAGTCTTTTAATTTTATTCTAGAAAGTGTGATAGTTTTAGTCTAGGACTGAAGGCCTTTCGCTGTTCTCTATGGCCACACCTGCAATGACCCATAGCTGGGGCATTTCTTTGGTTGTATGGGATTGCTGGGTAGCACATAATAGCTTTGAAAGTTTCATTTATAGTTTCTTTTTTTTTTTTCTTTTTAAAAAGATTTTACTTATTTATTTGAGAGACAGAGACTGCAGGGAGAGAGAGAGAGCATGAACCAGTGGTGAGGGAGGGAGGAACAAAGCCAGAGGGAGAAGCAGGCTCCCCACTGAGCAGGGAGCCCCATGGGGGCTTGATCGCAGGACCTTGGGATCATTACCTGAGCCGAAGGCAGACACTTAACTGACTGAGCACTGTGTTTCTAAATTCATATTGAATGGTCATATTAACTCTATATTGTCGAGTAAACATAAGCTAGATCTATATGCCCACTTATTTTTTAATTGTATAGTTCCACTCTGCTCCAGCTTATTATGGATTTTTCAAGCATATGAAAAGTTTCAAAGCATATTTACAGTGAATAGCCATATACCCACCACTTAGGTATTCAACTGAAGTTATTATATTTGTTTTATCAAATATCTATCCATCTACCGATCCCTTTCTCCATCTATCAATCCATCATATTTTCAATGCATTCCAAAGAAGTGACAGGAATCATTTTACCCCAAATATGTTAGCATGGTATCATCTAGACACAGGGCCTGTGGGTCATTTTCCTGTTTTTGTAAATAAAGTTTTTTTGCAACACAGCCCCACCTACTCATTCACAAAGTGCCTGTGTCTGCTTTCGTGCTACAGCCTTGCATTTGAGTGTTTGTGACAGACCGTATGGTCCACAGAGCCTAAACTATTTGGCCTTTTAAGAAAAAGTGTGTTTGCCCCTTTAGAATTCAATATTCATTACAATTATTATTTTTTTAAATTTTAAGGTAATGTCTGAGTTACATGAAAACACCAATCATAAGTGTACTATTTGATAAGTTCTGACAAATGCATTCACCTGTGCAACCTGAACGCTTAACAAAATCTAGAACATTATCTTCACTCCAGAGAGTTCACTCATACAACTTCCTAACCCATCCTTGCTCCCACCCTCCACTCCCAAGGCAATCACCATTTCAATTTCTTCCCCCTTGGGTTTGTCTTGCCTATTCTCAAACTTCATGTACATGAACACATACAGTATATAAGCCTGGTGCAAGACTTTATTCACTTACCATAATGCTGCAGACTCTTCCATGTTGTAGCGTGTATCATGAGTTCTTTCCTTTTTATTGCTGAGTAGCGTGCAATTGGCTGAGTTTACCCATCCATTCTATTGATGGACACCTGTGTTTTTTTTCCTGTCACGAAATTTCGTGAAGAAAACTGCTATAAACATTCCTATATAAATAAGTTTTTTTGCCTTGAGATACTGTGTCAATGAATGTCCAGTTTTATGAGAACTGCCAGAGCTTTTTCTAAGATGTTTATAATTTGTTTTAAGTGGAGGCTTAACTTGTTTAGACTCAAATGGAAAACTCTGTTTTGTTTGTTGTGGGCAGAAGTTCAGC